AGGGTGAGGTGACTGCCTCCAGCTTCAAACTGTCCTGAGCTCTGACCCTGGGCTGACTGAGCCCTGATCCTGGACTCAGGCTAAGCCCTGACTTCAGCCCCAGACTGAGTCCTGACCTGAGACATTTAGCTTTGACTCCAGCCACAGAGTGAGTTTAACCCCTTCCATGAACTCGTTGCTGGGGAGAGTTCTGGGCTAGGAGTGAGAGGGCTTAGTTTGAGCCTTAGCTCTGCAGACACAATTCTCTGAGTGACCCCAGAAGGTCCTGTTCCCTTGGACCTCAGCCTCACAGCAAAATAGGTGCCTCTCCAGAAAGTACAGAACACCATTGAAATATGGCAGCCAGTCTGAGCGTGGCAGCTCATTCCTGTAATTCCAACACTTTGGGAGGCCAAAGTGTGAGGATCACTTGAATCCAGAGGTTTGAGACTGGCCTGGACAATATAGCAAGACCCCATCTCTAAAAAAAAAAAAAATTTAAAAATTAGCTGGGCATGGTGGCACACACCTGTAGTTCCCACCTATCTGGGAGGCTGAGGCAGGAGGATCTCTTGAGCCTGGGAGGTTGAACCTGCAGTGAGGCAAGATCGTGCCACTGCAGTCCAGCTTGGGTGGCAGCAGAGACCCTGTTTCTAAAGAAAAGAAAAATACATTTTAAAAATGTGGCAGCCATTCATGCTCTGGCTCCACCCACGAAGCTGCTGTTAATCCCAACCCCAGAACATTCCTGCGGGGGAAAGGTGTCCCAGGATTACGTGGGGGGTGGCTCACGGGAATTCCCCCTTACCTCGTTTTTTTGTAGGAAGGCTCAGGAAGGGGTTTGGAAGGGCTGCTTGTGCTCTTTCCGAGTCCATTGCATCCCACCTGGGGTGCTCTGCCATGTGACCTTGGGTGAGACACTCCCCTTCTCCCGCAGGGGCAGGTGGGGGGAACAGGGTTAGAAGGGCACAGGCCGTCTGTACTTCTTGTCTGCAGTTCCTAAAGTCTGCCCCCGACTGCTCCCACCTCAGAAAGACTCCTCTCCACTGCCATTTCGGTGGCTGAAGGAGGAGGTGGCCCAGAGACAGTGAGGCCAGTGGGCCGGGCTGCGATAGGACCCCCAGGACCTACATCTGAATGGTGAGCTGGGTTCTATCCCCTCCCGGAGCTAGTGGAAGCTAAGCTGGTTGGTGAGGGGAGCCTGGGCCTATCCTGGAGCTCCCTCTAGTGTCTGAAGAGGGGCCCGCAGCCTAGCTTTCATCCAGTGGAGGACTGGGTTTATCCTGGCCACCCTCCCCAAGCTGTCTTGCCAGCCCGTCTCTACCCTCACTTCTGGGGGTTCACCAAGCTGAGATCCCGGGGGTATACTAGGGCTGTTTCCCTTTTTTCAACCCCAGCGGACACCAAATTCTATTCCTGATGCCCAAATACCCACTCCTGCTCTCTGCCACTCCACCCAACCCCATCCTGATTCAGGCTTCGTGGCCTTTCCCTGGGTGATTTCCATGCATGCACTCCTTCAGTGCAGCTTTCACACTCTTCCCAGAGGGAACTCTGCCACATGCAAACATGGCCACGTCATCCCCCTTCTTTCACCTCTTCTATGGCTCACCAGGGCCCCACGACACAAATCCAAATCCTTAGCACCTTACAAGGACTGTGCCATCTGTCCTCTGCCAGCCCACCAGCCTCATTTCTAATCATTGCCTTTTGCATCCCGACCCTGGGTAATAATGACCTGTCCGCAGTTCCTGAAGGTACAATGCCTTCTCACACCTGACCTTGGCTCGTGCTTGGTTTTCAGCCAGGTACGCCTTCTGCTTCTTCTCCACTTGGAAAGTCCCATTCTCACTCCACAGTGGTACCTCCCCTGGGCAGTTGCTCTTTTGCAGCTGCCCTGCCCTTGGGGGTCTCACTGGGTTCGGATCCAGCCCCTCTCTGTCTTGCCCTTGAGTCTGTTCCTCTAGACATGAACTCCCCAATGGTGAGGACTGAGCGATTCTCATCTGTGTATTCATCACCTACCACATGCCTGCCTTAGGATGGGTGCAGATGTCTACACTGGTGACTAGAACAGGGCAGGATCAGTGCTGGGGGCCTTAAGGGAAGCCCAGGGGTCTGTGGGAGCCTAGAAGAGTCCCCGACCAAGCCTGGGGGTGGGGTGAGGAGCAGAGAAGTCTTCTCTGAGGAGATGATGCCAGAGCTGGAGTTGGAAAGGATCAGGGCGGTGTCAAGAGGCATTCAGTCAGGTGGGGGCGGGGCGGGCATTCCAGGGAGCAGACCCTGGGGCTGAGGATACCAATCTGTGTTTGTGCCAGGGACTGAGTTACGAAGGGCTCTGGGCGTGAGCCTCAGGAATTTAGACCTGGCCTTCGTGCAACTGGGGGTCACCAGGCAAGAGACACCATTTGAGGTTTGAAAAAAATCCCTCTGGCAGTTGGTGTGGAACCCAGGGGCCTCCTGGGCATTGCTTTGGGCATTTGTGGGGGTGCTTTCAGTGACGATGACTGGGGGGCACTACTGGAAGTTAGTGGATGGGGCCTGGGATGCCAAACGCCCAGTGATGTTAGGGATAGTCCCCATCATGAAGGGTTGGCCCACGTGCCATTTGACTCTTGCATTTCCTGCCAGGCACACGTGCAGAGGGAAAACACCTGTCTGTAATAGTCCAAGATTAGAGCACGTGTCTGGCTTGCCTAGAAACGGAGAGCATCTTGGCGCGGTTTTTAGCAAAGACTGGATTTGCCAGAACTACGCCTTCCATGCACGTTGTAGGATGGTTGCACCTTATCTTGTTTGGAGCCTTACCCAGATTTGCCACCAGTTTGAAAAACTACATACTTCATGGCAGATGTTCTCGTAGGATTTGAGCGGCCAACAGGACCTTCTCCACATTGGTCTGCATCTGTGGCTGTCACATTCAGTGGAGTTCTGTGTAGGTGCACACTTCTCATTGTTTTATTGTGTCTGCTAGCATAGCGTACTCAACAGGAGTATTTACAATTTGAAATGATGGTTCACTTTAAATTACCTTCATTATGTGCTTTGTTGTTTTTTTTTTTTTTGAGATGGAGTCTCACTCTGTCTCCCAGGCTGGAGTGCAGTGGTATGATCTCAGCTCACTGCAACCTCCGCCTCTTGGGTTCAAGCGATTCTCCTGCCTCAACCCCCTGAGTAGCTGGGATTACAGGCATGTGCCACCATGCCCGGACAATTTTTGTATTTTTAGTAGAGACAGGGTTTTGCCATGTTGGCCAGGCTGGTCTCAAACTCCTGACCTCAGGTGATCGACCCACCTCGGCTTCCAAAGTGCTGGGATTACAGGCATGAGACACTGCACCTGGCCCTTTATGTATTAATTTAATCAACATTCATTTAACTCTTGACACTGTCAGACACTTTTCTAAATGCTTGATGTGTAATTATCATTTAATCCTCAAGACAAGTCTATGCAGTAAGGTGTAGTTGCTGTCTCTTTTTTACGAGTGAGCTAACTGAGGCACAGAGAGGTGACTTACCCAAGGCTGGAGTCAGTCAGACCCAACTCGAATCCTGCCAGGCACTGGTGCTGGGCCAACCTCACCTCTGTGTGCCTCAGTTTCCTTATCCATAGAATGGGGTCAATGCTGACTTTGCAGTGCTGCTGGAAAGTGGAGAAGCCAGGATTTGAATCAGCATCTGTGCACCTCACCACTGGCCTATAGTGCCTGCCTCTGATATTTCAGTTAGGGCACTGGGATGGTTTTTCTTTTGGAAGTTACAAGCATACATATGTTGAGACAAGGTTAAGCACCACTGGTGGAGAGCCCGTGAGAGCTGGGCTGGGAGGGAGTGGAAGTCTGGTCACTGAAGCTGGGGCATGGACACTCTTGCCCAGGGAGGAATGTGGAGTGAGGGGGCCAGGGGGCTGGGGACAGACCCGGGCGGGTCCCAACATTCTGGGAGGAGGAGTGAGGAACAGTTAACGAGGTAGAGAGACCAGGGTAGCAGGGGTTGGGGAGGCCACAGGGACAGAGTTCCAAGAAGGGAGGGCATGGGTGACAATGGAGAAGGCCTGAGAGAGACCCAGTGAGGTCAGGGCTGATGGTGGCCCCAGACTCAGCCACAGAGGGAGCAGGGGGCGCCTGGGCCGTGAGAGCTGAAGGGACCTCAGCTGGAGCTGCAGTCACTCTCACCCCAGTGCCTAATACAGGCAGTGCCTAATACTGCCTCACCTCTCTCCCTGGCATCTCTGGCCTGTGCCTCCCACTGGCCCACCTTTCTAGAAAGCAGATGGAAGGGAGCCAGCGTGACACAGCCCACAGGTGCCAGCAAGGCAAGGGTGGCTCTGGGTGGGGAGTAGGGACAAACAGAACAACCAGTGAGACCCTGAGAAGGGAGATGCGGGACCCTGAGGGATGAATCCAGAGCAGGAGTCACCTGGAAGGGTCTGAAGGGGTTCCTTCTGGTGGGCTCCTTGGTGGGGAGGGTCACTATCCTCCCGCGAGCAGCAGCTATCCTCTGCTAGCACTATCCTCTGGCAGCAGCTGCCCAGCCCTTGCAATGTTCTCAGGCAGATGCTGTGATGATCCCATTTACAGATGGGAGAACTGAGACTCGGAAAAGAAACAGACCAACAAAAACTCACTTAAGGGCAGAGAGCAGGAACTGGATTCAAACGCAGGTCTGCCTGATGCCAAAGTTGGGGCTCCCAACCACCGAGTTTTGCTGTCGCATCTGCCCATCAGCTTGAGAGTCGGCGGGTATCCCGGCCCAGGATAGCGTCCCCTCAGCCAGGCAGGTGGCAGCAAGTCATAGCCAGGCTAGCGGAGGGGCAATTAGTAACCTGCAGTCACAGGGTCACCAGTGGAAAGGTTGGAGTCGGGCAGACCCGACTCGAATCCTGCCAGGCACTGGTGCTGGGCTGACGTCACCTCTCTGTGCCTCGGTTTCCTCATCCATAGAATGGGGCCAATGCTGACCTTACAGTGCTGCTGGTGGGGGGAGGGGGTAAACTGAGGTTATATTGATTCCCTTCCCAGGTGGGGAGGACGGTGGAAGTGGATGCACCTGGGGGACCGTCTCAGAGGGGCTGGCCCACTCCTACTGCGCCAGATCTGGAGGTGTGCTCCTGTCTGAACTCCATCCTGCCTGCTGCCCAGCGACTCCCTGGCTTCCTCCCTGTCACATGGGACTCCCGCACCCGGTGCTGTCCAGGGACCCCCCACACTCCACACCCTCCGGACCTCGCAGGACATTTCCAGGTCTGGCCACAAGGTGGAGCGTGGCAGCTGCAGGACAGTGCTGGGGGCCGGGCTGCGGAGGAGCCTGGACCTGCGCCCGGTGACCTCCCCGCTCTGTGAACGTGTGGGAGTTTGTGTCTGTGCATCCAGAGAACCAGAGGGCTGTGGTTGACTTGCCGTGCTCCCCCCAACCCCCCACTGGGATTGCCTGGGTCTCTGGGGGATCACTGAGAAGCTGGATAAAGAGGGCTGGCACTGTTGCCTCGGCTCACTAATGCCTCATGGTTTTACAGGTGAGGAGACTGAGGCCCAGAGAAGGAAGTCACGTGCTGAGGTCACTGACTAATCAGTGGCTGATCTGGTCGAACCCAGATCTCTTGAGCTGTAAGGTCTCTGCTTTTCCTGTGGCATGGAGAGGGGCTTCTCCCACCTAGGGAGGGGAGATCCTGTTGTACTGGGGAGGCAGGGGATTAAAGATGGACTGAGAGGTTAGGGTCCCAGAAACCAAGGGGCAATCCCTGTCCCAGAGAACCGGCCTCAAGGGTGGGGATGGGGTAGGGGCAGCGGATAAGGGGTCTGCCCAGGGCTTCTTGGGTTCCCTTCTAGGGTTCCTGGGCACCCAGGGCTGCGGCACTTGCCCCGGGCTAGAGGGTCAACCAGGCCCTGCATGGTGCCCACCGCTCCCTCCCGTGCACTGCAGGGGACCCTTGTCCATCCCTTTAGCTCGTCTGGACCCCCCTCAATGGCTCCTGCTGTCTTTCCAGGCTGTGTCCTCCCATGTCAGAGACACATCCCAGAGCCCAGGGCCTGCGTGGGCTGTATCCACGGTTACTGAATAGGGACAAACAGGCATGCATTGGCAGGGGCCGGTGGCTCATTTCAGGAAAGTCCCTTCAGCAAGAGGATTGTCTCCCCACTGGGGCTGAGGGCAGTGGCAGAAAGTAATGTTGTTTTATGTTGTAGTGTCTCTGAGATGACCTGGATTCCCGAACCAGGTTTCCTTGAAGAGCTCCTCCTGCCCACCCCAACAAGAGGCCAGCTGGAGAGCAAGCAAACATCGAGTGCAGCAGGAGACTATAAGGTTAGACAACAAGAAGGACTTCCCGGCACGGGAGAGCAATGCTTCCTTGGTTAGAGCTGCCGTTCAGTAGAATGGGCTGCTTTGGATTGCAGTGAGGTCTCTGGAGTTGCAAACAGCAGCAGGCCAGAGATCAAGGTCAAGTGGAAGGAAGCTGGGAAAGGTTCAGTTCGGCTGGTGAGGGGTGGAGAGGGTGGAGGGAGGCAGGGGCTGCCGTGGTGCAGGGCTGAGGTGCCTACGTCTGATCCTGAGGCTGATGGTGGGAGGCGCTGTGTGTGGCAGGGTGGGACAGGGTGGGGACAGCAGGAGACACTGAGAAGGTGGTGTGGCCAGGAGCTGGAGGCTGACTGGGTGTGGGGACTGGGGAGGGGGCGTTGGGCTGCAGGGTGGGAGGTACCTTGGCTCCTGTGGGAGCACTGGGGAGCAGCAGGTAGGGGAATGAGCTGGGTGGGAGGGGCTGCAGCTTCCCAGTAGACACAGGGAGACTCGCAGGCCTGGGCTTGGCAGAGAGGCCTGGGCTGGAGAGGTGGGGAGGGGAGATCCAGGAGAGGGGATAACTAAGGACTTGGGAGTAGCTGGCGTTACCTGGTGAGAAGAGAGTTCTGAACAGCCCCTCAGAACAGAAATTTCTCCAAGGAGGCTGACCCGAAAGGTGGGAGGAGAGTGCAGCAGGGGGTCAAGAGGGAGAAACGGGTGGGTGCCAAGACCAGGTCGGCACCACAGGCTGGGGGGCTTGAGGACTTGGGGCTGATGTCTGGGGACGTCCACGAGGTGGAGCAGCCCAGGAGGCCTGGATGGGAGGAGGAGGCGGCGGCGGGGAGGGGAGGGAGGGGCTGGGCCTCTGTCCACAGCATTAGTGCTGGTTGGAGGGACGAGGGGGGTGCGGAGCCAGCCAGGCCGCCCTCCGGTTCCCACAGCAGCCGAGCAGAGCGGGCTGCCATGGCGCTGGCCAGGCCTGGGACCCGGGACCCCCAGCCCCTGGCCTATGTCCTGCTGCTGCTGCTGCTGCTCTGGGCCCCTGCCCTTTCCCTCCTGGCTGGTGAGTTGGGGCCCATGTCTGGAGGGGCCTGGGAGAGGATCTGTCCCCTAGGGCAGACACCCCAAGCCTTGGCTGCTGGGGCGGCGGGTGGGCTGGTCCGCGTGGGTGCAGGCCTGAGCTGTGGGGTGCACAGGAGTGCGCAGCTGTGGGCCCCCAGACTCTGTGGGGCTCCACGGAGGTGAGTGTGTTCTGAGACTTGGGGGGCTGTTTCATGTTGGGGGTTGTAAGTTTCGGGGTTGGGTCATTGGGGGCAGGGCGTGATTTGAGAGAGCTGATGCGGGTGAGGGATGGGGTACGTGTTTTGGGAGGTGCTCTGTTGCATCCTGTAAAGGGCTGGGGGTTGGGGCTGGGAAACTTCTGGGTTTCTAGGGGCTGAGTTTGGGGAGTTGCAGGTGGCGTGAGCCTCACCCCGGAGCCTGTTCTGAGTCGCATGCTGGGTTGTGGGGCACAGGTTGTGGGCGTGTTAGAGTTGGGAGGTGGATGAGCTGTCTGGGGTGAGCCGTGAGTTGTGTCGGAGGAGTTGGGTGTGGTGAGCTGTGTCCCAGCACGCGCTGTGGGGTGTAAGTTGTCCAGGGTTGAACTGGGTCTTTGCTCTCAACATGAGGGGTGTGGGATGAGCACCGCAGACCCCAACTCAGGGGACTGGGTGGAGAAGCGGGAGGGAGAGCTAGGGAGCTGGGTGCCTGCCCGCACCCCTCCGTTTGTGCGGTAGCCCCGCCTGCGAGCTGGGGGCACTGGGGATGCTTTGGGTCCCTGCGGGGTGTCTGGGGATTTGGGAACGTGTGTGTCTCCTGCCGCCCCCTTCCCAGCATTCCAAGGCCAATCTGAAAGGGCTCCCTGAAGCCAGACCCCATTCGCCAAGCCCTTTTTGCTTTTGTCCAAGGTCTCGGAGGCTGGAATTCCTCCTGGGGGGTCCAAGGGAACGCTTGGTGTTAGTTACTATAGTTACAGGGGCCGGACATGGGAAGTCCCCTGCCCCCACCACCACAGGCTGGGGAGGCAGCCAAGGAGGGCCTGGGCTCTCCTGAGGCTGGGGGAGCCCTCCCTGCCCCAGAGCTCCACAGGCTGCAGGGTGTGGGGGCCAAGCCTCTCCCAGTCCCACCTGGGGACCCTCATGTTTCCCGCACTCACAAAGCTTTCATTTCCTAGCCTCTCTATGGGGCCCTAGGGAGGATGTGGACCCCATTTTATAGTGAAGGAAACCAAGGCTCAGAGAGGGACGGGGACTTATGAGCTGGGCTTTGCTGGCAAGTGACTTGGACTCTGTAGGGGGCGGGGCATGGTGGGGGGTGGTGGCTGCTCCTCTCTGTTCTTTGCATACAAAGCACATGAGATCCGGTCTGTGGATCGGGGCTCTGTCCCCTGCCCTGTGCTCACACACCCACACTCCACACACCTGTGTGGCACGCCCAAGGGCACACAGCGCCACAGGGACAGGTGCCACAGACACGTGGATCTACCAGCACATGCACCTACACACATGTGCACACACATGGCATGTGCTTGCACACCAGCGTGCACACCCCAACACGCATGTGTAGACATATGTACATTCACACTCTGTGCACTCACAGAGGACCTGCAGGCACACAGCGGATGGAGGCTGTGGGTGGTCTGGACACTGTGTGTACACTCACCCCATCAGGCCTGCTGGGGCACCCAGGAGCGGGCAGCCCTTCCTCTGCCATTTCTGTGCTGGGAGCCCCATCCCTGGGGATCCCTAAAAGTTGGAGGGGGACACTGCAGGCATGACCATTTCTGCACACTGGTACCCTAGCCTGCCTGCCGGGAGGGGAGTGACTGGGGATTTTGTCACTTGAAAACCAGTTTTCATCCTGGACGGGATGGGGGCTTCTGGAGGCCGTGGGCCCCTGGCTTTGCTCCCCACCCCTGCCAGGCCCTGAGCTGGGCCCCTCCATCCTGGTCCCAATTTGCCACAAAGGCCCGGCTGGTTGCCATGGAGAGGACCAAGCATCTTGGAGTACAATGGGGCACATTGGGCTCTCATATCCACCCTCCCTTCCCCGAACACCCAGGGAGCCCAGCAGACAAAGGGGCAGTGAGTCCAGGCCCCAAGTCCGGCCCCTCCTCCAGCCAGAAGGCGGTGGGAGCCTGCGGGACAGAAGCAGAGATGGAGCAGAAAGACACACACATTCAACCCAATGTCAGGATCCTTTGGACAGTGGGTGTCTGCCTCAAGTAAATAATTGTTGATGAATAAGATCAGCCACTCCATGGCAGGCACTGTGCTATTAACAAGGTCTAATTTAATTTTCCCAACAGCCTATGAAGTCGGCTCTGATACCCCCAGTTTACAGAGGAGGTAAACAAGGCCCAGAGATGGCCAGTCCCAGAGCCAGGCAGCCCCAGAGCCAGTGCTGGGATTTCACAGTACACTGTGCTACTAGCCTAGGCAAAGTCGCCTCTCTTCTCTGTCTCCCCAAAACGAGGACTGGCTCACTCTGAGCGCTAGTACAAGGATTCAAAGAGAAGAGAGTGAGTGGTTCCCCACCCCAGGTTTTGGCATGGAACCCCCAATTTCAAGGGAAATTTTAGATGGAAGCCCACGAACCGTTAATAGTAAAATTGTTAGAAGTGGCCTGTTTGGGTGGCAGGTGGGGAACCCCGCCTGCTCTGTCTCCCCCTCACTTCAGGAGGTAACTCATTGGAACTGTGCTCTGAGCCCAAACTCAAGGGTTCGTCAGTGCCAGGCACGGGGTAGGTGCTCCGTCCCTGACAGCTATTGCTGCAATTACTGTTATCAGAATTACGTCTTTTAACCTCAGAAGGTAAACAGTTTTGAAAAAGAGTATTCCAAAGTATTCTGCCCAAAATAGTATTTCACCCTTTCCTGATGACTGAGTGAGCGTCTGTAAGCCTCCATGGTTATCTAGCCCTACCCTTGCGGGGGTAGAGCCTTCGGGCGCAGGGATATTAGATGAACAATTTCTTCCCCTATGCTAGAAATTCCCACACCTTAGGAGGTCTTAGGTCGCTTCTTAGAAATATTCTCTCTCAATTTGTTGGGACAGGAAGCTTCCCCAGTAAAACACTTTCCTTTTTGGTTGTGGTTTTTCTTTCTTTCTTTTTTTTTTTTTTTTTTTTTTTGTCTGATGAAGGGTCTCACCCTGCTGCCCTGGCTGCAGTGCAGTGGAGAAATCATAGCCTCAATATCCCTGGCTCAAGCCATCCTCCCACTTCAGCCTCCCAAGCAGCTGGGACGACAGGGACCCACACCATGGTTGGCTCATTTTTTTTTTTTTTTTTTTTTTTTTTTGTAGAGACAGAGTCTCACTATGTTTGCCAGGCTGGTCTTGAGCTCCTAGCTTGAAGTGATCCTCCCACCTCGGCTTCCCAAAGTGTTGGGATTACAGGTGTGAGCCGCTACCCCTGGCTTCAGTAAAACACTTCTCATCAGTTGTTGGCTGTTATAAACAGGCCTATTATAAGTGCATGAAAAGTAGGTGTTACTAATGAGTGAGGCCTGAGACACAGTGGGATTGCTAACAGCTGGGTTTTGGATAGACGGGGAAGATTGCCCACTCTGCCCAGGCTGATATTGGAAGATGTATTCCTGTGAAAACCTTTAGAGATTTTGTTCCAGGGTGAGGCAGTTAAAATGTATTAAAGTGACAATATGTGGGTGGCAATTTAGCGTTTGCAAAGTGGAAATTTCACATGCATTGGGAGATGTGGACCTCCTGGGAAATCAGGAGTGGATCTGATTCTTCATCTCAACCTGGGGCAAAAGTATCAACCTCTTTGAGTTACAAAAACAGAAATTTTCTTAATAGCACCCACCTTTTCTGGTCTGAATCAAATATAACAATGTAATAATAGATGCACAGGCCCAAGCACATAGTAAGCACTCAGTAAACAGCTGGGTCCTCCTGCTGCCCTCCCCAGGACAGGGCAGCAGGTCGAAGGGGAGGGGCGGGTGTCCGTTAATCCCTCCCTGCCAGGTCGGCCCAGGCAGCCTGAGGTCAGGAGGGATTTGTGAAGATAAGCACAGGCCCCTCGTTGCCCTGGCAACAGGCCCCGCCCCTCCAGCCTGGCCCGGGGAACAGCCCCTCCTCCGCCCTGCTGCCCTCCACACCCCGCCCCTCCTTGCCTCTCCTGTCTGGCCTGGGTTATGGTGGCCTCCTAGGCTCACTCCTGGAAGACAGACAACCTGAGGTCAGCGGTTCCCACACCTAAAAGTGAAAGGAATCCCGTGGGAGCAGGTTGCAATGCAGATTCTCAGGCTCAGGGCCCAGTTCTAAATGTGAGGTCTGG